GGGCCCCCCCAGCCCTAGTCCCCCTGCCCCCACCATGCAGGAGCGTCTGACTCCAGGTCTGAACATGGATGGACTGGGGCCAGTGCGACTGAATGGGCCTGGCTGCGGGCTCCCCACGCAGCTGGCACCCTGGCTCGTTGGGCAGGGCTGGCTGGGGCTTGTCTCTGGGGGAGGGGCATTTCCCTACTGAAGGTACCAGGAGGGAGGTCACTGGTGGAGCGAGGGGCAAATACACTCACAAGCTCGGAGCATCCTGTTCGCCCGCCCGGGAGACCAGAGCCAAGGCGAAGGAGCCACCATCAACCTTGCTCCTGGCCCTAGAAAGTGGCAGCTGGAAGACAAATGGTGAAACCGGAAGGAGAGAAATTCAGCTGGAAACCACGTGCCCCGGGATTCCCGGGAGCAGGACAGGGAGCTGCAGTGTTGAAAACGAGTCGGGTCCCTTCACGGGCAAAGCCCCGCTGGGGAGCTTTTTACACCATGGACAAAGCTTAATACCCCCTGCCCCAGGCCACAGCGCCTTGGTCCAAGACCTTCGCTTTGTCCTGCTGCAGTGGTGCTAGTGGGTCACCCACAAGGGAATAAAGGGCCTGGCACAAACAGGGACATCTCTGCCAACACCAGGGGTTCGCAGGGGTGTAGCCAGTGCCAGGACAGCAGAGACTGGAAGAGGGGGTGTCCTCACACAGCTGTGCCCCCTCTCCCCAGCACCTGTTGGTCCCATAGAAGTTTTGCCCCCTTGTCTCGAGCAGGGAAGCTGTTTGCACAATCCCCCAAGGGAATAAAGGGCCTGGCACAAACAGGGACATCTCTGCCAACACCAGGGGTTCGCAGGGGTGTAGCCAGTGCCAGGACAGCAGAGACTGGAAGAGGGGGTGTCCTCACACAGCTGTGCCCCCTCTCCCCAGCACCTGTTGGTCCCATAGAAGTTTTGCCCCCTTGTCTCGAGCAGGGAAGCTGTTTGCACAATCCCCCGGCCAATGGAAACACAAACACCGGTTGCTGTTGCCCTTTACGCTTTGCAACCAGCCTGGGCCCGGAGAGGCAAGCAAGGCGTCTGGGAAGCTGCGGGGTTCGCGTGCCCGGCTCCGTTTGCTTCTTACCTCGGGAGGACTCTTGCTACAGACTGAAGCGCTAGGACCGGGACGAAGGACCCACGCGAGCTGCGGCCCAGAAAACACACTGGCCCCCGCTCCCTCCGGGCCAGGGGGAAGGAAAGGCCTGGCCCGTCCCCGGGCGCGGAGCCGCGCTGTGACCCGGGGCGCAGGGACCCCGAGTGGCCGGGCCTAGCTCTGTCCGGGCA